CGTCCCATCCGTACAAATCCTGTCCTGTCCCATACCATCCCATCCCATCCCAGCCAAATCAGTCCCATCCCATCCCATCCCATCCAAACCAGTCCCATCTTATCACATCCTATCTCAATCAAACCCGTCCCATCAGATCCCATCTTATTCAAATCAGTCCCATCCCATCCCATCCCATCCAAAAGCAGTCCAGCACCATCCCATCCGAAAAAATCTGGTCCCATCCCTTCGCATTTCAAAGAAACCAGTCTCAACACATTCCATCTCAATTCTACCAGTCCAATCCAATCCCATCCCAGTCAAACTTGTCCCATGCCATCCGCTCCCAAATGAACAATCCCATCCCAATCAAACCATCCTTATCCCATCCCATCCCATCCCATCCCATCCCATCCCATCCCATCCCTATCTAACCAGTTTCATCACATGACATCCAAAGCAAACCAGTTTCATCACATGACATCCATAGCAAACCAGTCCGATCACCTCCCATCCCGTTCACACCATTTCCATCCCATCCCATCCCATCCCATCCCATCCAAATCAAACCTGTCGCATTCCGTCCCATCCCATTATATCACATCCCATCCCGTCCCATCCCATTCCATCACATCCCATCCCGTCCCATCCCATTCCATCACATCCCATCCCATCCCATCCCATCCCATTCCATCACATCCCATCCCGTCCCGTCCCGTCCCTTCCCATCCCATCTCATCTCATCCCATCTCATCCCATCCCATCTCATCCCATCCCATCTCATCCCATCCCATCCCATCCCATCCCATCTCATCCCATCCCATCCCATCCCATCCCATCTCATCCCATCCCAATCGCACCAGTCCCGTCCCATCCCTTTCCCGTTCACTTCAGTCCCACGTGGCATGAGCAGCTCCAACCACAGCAGTCCCAAGGCAATACAGGAACCCTTTTTGGCGTTAACAGCCTCACAGGCTGATGTTCGCATGGGCGGAGTCACATTTAACTCACCCACTTCTCTCTATTTTCGGTTCTCTGTATTCATCGCATTTTCGTCCACTCGTCTAACCTTCCCCGCCCCAATTTGTTTAATGTCCACTATGTGGTCTAGGCTTATGCTGCATTTGTTTTGCCATTCCATTTCCGCCCATCCAATACCTCTCTCGCAGGAGCTCATTCTTTTTTCAGTCATGTGTATCTAATCGACTCATTTCCCTGTCCCATCTCATCCCATTCACTTCTATCCCATTGCTGCAATTGGAGATTTTAGTCACATCAAACCATCAAATGTCAGTTACGGTACCTTGTACCTCTCCATGTTCCCCAGGTACCCATCCATGTTCTCAGGTACCCATCCATGTTCCCAGGTACCCATCCATGTTCTCAGGTACCCATCCATGTTCCCAGGTACCCATCCATGTTCCCAGGTACCCATCCATGTTCCCAGGTACCCATCCATGTTCCCAGGTACCCATCCATGTTCCCAGGTACCCATCCATGTTCCCAGGTACCCATCCATGTTCCCAGGTACCCATCCATGTTCTCAGGTACCCATCCATGTTCCCAGGTATCCATCCATGTTCTCAGGTACCCATCCATGTTCCCAGGTACCCATCCATGTTCTCAGGTACCCATCCATGTTCCCAGGTACCCATCCATTTTCCCAGGTACCCATCCATGTTCTCAGGTACCCATCCATGTTCCCAGGTACCCATCCATGTTCCCAGGTACCCACCCATGTACCTGTATTCCTGAATGCAGCCATGGGGATGGGGTTTCCATGTGGCATGAGTTCCAAGGGGTTTCCATGTGGCATGAGTTCCAAGGGGTTTCCATGTGGCATGAGTTCCAAGGGGTTTCCATGTGGCATGAGTGGCAAGCACACCTATCCCAAGGCTAGCCAGAACCCTCTCTACCTTCAGCAGCCTCACATCTTGATGCTCTTTGATGCAGCTGGTACTGCGGCTGCAACAGAAAATGCATCCTTGCTGGGCCAGCGAGTGCACTACAGACTACAGTGTGCTGTGCTGCACTCTTCAAATGCCACTCCATTGCTTCAACCCCTGCTGGTTGCTACACTGAAGAACCCAGTGTGCTGAAGAGAATTTATGTGCTTTTGCATTCTTCAGTACCCAACAAATCATCCGTTTGCAACGTATCTAGCGTTAACTATTCCATGATATTGGGTTTGTTGCTGCAAATAGTGAATGCAGTGGCAGATAGATAGTCCCTGCAAGCAATCAATCAACGATTAACCAGCAGCAGCTTGAGAGGACGTTGCGGTAATCCTGTGGTAAATACATTTGAGTTCTCTAAAAAGCCCATCCATCCATCCAGATTGATAAATTTGTGTACTACACTTCCATTTCTTTTACAACTAAAGAGTCTGAAGTAGAGACATATCCTAGTAATATACAGTGTGCACATCACTGCCTACAAGTCATCGTTTATTCTCAACAGCACCTGGGAGCTGTTCAGTCGGTGTCACCGATGTTCCAACACAACATTCAGTATTGTAGCCTATGTATGTACAGAGAATGCTCCCAGCAGCAGCTGGGAGTTCGAGTGCGGGCACGGCACTGAGGGCTCTTTCAGGAGCTCCTTCTGTGCGCCCTGCTACTGCTGCAGCCTAGCCTCGCCTGCCTCTCATGCACCAAACCCTCTTTCCTCCCCGCCTGCTGCTTCAACCCCTCCCTGCCACACACGCCACTTGTCACTGCTCTGCCACCTGCTGCCTTCACACCACCCTGCCTTCCACCTGCTGCCCTCCCTGCTGCTCCCTCCCCACACCCACCCTCCTCTCTCCTCTTCACCCCACTTGCGTGCCTGCTGCTGGCCTTGCCGGCTGCTCTCACTGATGATGCAGCACCACGTGATCCCGCAACCACTGCTGCTGCTGCTGCTGCACATGGGGCACAGCTTGCACGCGTGTTGTTGCCCTTACCACCCTTCACACCCATGCTCACCACCTTACTGCTGCACCCATTCTTGCCCTTCGCGCTTTCAACCCCCACCTTGCACCTTGCTGCAACAGCAGGCTTTGGCTTCTGTGCTGCTGCTGCTGCTGCTCCTCTTACTGGTGATGCTGCAGCAGATGATTTCACTGTTGTTTTAGCTGCGGGCGAGGGAGCAGCTGGAGCTGCGGACACTGCTACAGCCGCTGCTGCTGCAGATGCAGGAGGCACGGTTTTGCGAGTCAGATTCGCCACAGCATCAGGATGCTTGGGCAAGAAGCAGGCTCGCAGGGCGGCTTCAATGGCCGCTTCAATCTCATTGGACCACGATGTCTCCTTGCTCCGCTTGTCCCATCTCAGGTAAGCAGCACGTGTCAATGCAATATCCATCGCTTGAAACTCCTGACGCAGCTTCGACCACCTCGTTTTTTCACTCGGATCAGCAGCACGTCCATTCGCCTCCTCGAATATTGCTTCTGTTGTTACAGACGCTTCAGCCACCTGTGGTGCGGTTGAAGCCACTGGAGCCACAGGCGCTACCTCAGGCACCACCACAGGCGCAACCACAGCAGACGGTGTGACGGGAGCAGCGTTGACGACCACAGGTGCGAGCACGGCAGCAGCAGGCTTGCCTCCGAAGCGGCCGATTCCAGGCCGCTTCACATCAGGTGCGTCAGCTACGTACGATTTGATAGGCTTGTGCAGGGCGTCAGCGAGACCTTGCGAGGACGACGCATGCATGTGCTTCGCCAGTGTCTCCAGCAGCGGCCTCACGCTCTTCAGAAGCACACTGCTGCAGCAAACCTCAGCGTCGCCGTTGCAAGCAGCAGGCTTGGCAGAAGAGTATGATGCAGGCGAGAAAACGGTTTTAGGGGTTCCGAACCTGCCAATGCCTCTGGTAGGCGTTGCAGGACTGCTCGAGGTTTGAAAAGCAGAGTTAACATTGCAGTTATCAGAGTAAGAAGCCATGTTAATTTGGCTGCGAGGAGACTGTTGATAGCAGATTGCTGGAGAGAGGCTGATCGTTGAACAAATATTGATTGCTTGAAGGTTTGTTGACTGAAAATCGACAGAACGGCAGGGGAATGATAAGATCCAACCGTGACGACCGCTTTTCTTCTCTACTCCGCCCTCGGCCGCTCAACCCTTCGCCTCCACGCCCACATTTCTCCTCTGCCTGACCATTGGAGTTCCAGCCTCGGCCTGCCTCAGCCTGATCATTTGAGTGCAACGTCACACATATCAAACGGTGGGGAAAGCAATGAGCGAGGTGTGTGGACGGATTTCAGAGCGTCTTTCTCTGGAGGTTCAGGTTCGGAAACCTTGGTGGAGCCGCGCCAGGCAAAATCATCGGGATGGGAGGTTCGGGGACATTCTCTAGGTGTCACTGCGTTTCAGGTTCGTGAGACCGTCGAGCCGCGTCACCAGTTTCCCGCCACTGTTTTCGTAAAGGATTCCTAGCCGTTTCCGAGAAGCTCTTCTTATAAGAGAAGAGACACACCGCTCGCGAAAGCCTTTCGCAAAACCATCGCACGTCGCCATGAAAATCGTTTCCAAGGTTTGTGCTGAGCGAGCGCAGAACTGTGGGATTGGTCTGTGCGTAAACATATGCTCGGGGATGGGGATTGATGTTTGTGCGCTTGGGTGGGAAAGAGGCTTTGTGCTATCCTCTATATGAATTAGCTGGTTGATTCTGTTCGAAGCAATACTATTGCGAAAGTTCTTTCCATGGAACCAATAACTCCTTAATACTTATTTTTTTACGAGAAATCTATCATACCAAATCTGTTAAGCATACTGTAATATTCGACATATAATATCTATGGGTGTTATTATGGGGGACTAAGGTTCACGGAAAATGGGTATTAGAGATACAATATATCTATAAAATCTACCGAACCATATGAAAAAAAAACTTGGCAAGAAGCTGCAGCCTCCCACGCACCAAAACACAGTGTGCACGCTCATTTTAACACACTATTTACACACAACTCAAGCAGCGTTGGCAGATGGCACAACACCCAGCGTAACTAAACATTTCCAAGTATTCCCTCATCCCGCACAGGTTCAACCAGCAATCTTAGTCTTTGGCTTTCGAAGCAGATCCTCCAGGCGCAGCGCGTTGATCTTGGCTGCCAGCACAAAGTCGTTCTCATGCAGCCCACCTGCAAGGACAGGAGGGAAGTGGTCAGGGTGGTCACTAGCTGACGATGAACGCAAGCCCACATTGGCTTATGTGAAGCTCCACACATCATGCTCACGGTCCTATACTATAACAATGTGATGTTAGCGTGTGAGGCGTACCGATGGCGTGTGTGTATATGTCGATGCGCGCATGGTTCCATCCTTCCAAATGGAGGTCGGGATGATGACCTGTAGGCCTCATAGCATGTAATCCACACGCACCCACAAACAGAAAGCATGGAACATACGAACCAAGGATGTGAGGCACATGGAGGCAAGTGCTGCGGAAATACAATGGAGTCAAATGATTTTCCTAACCACAATACACTCCACTATTCATGCCACAACTTAACTGTGCCGAATCTTCTCTTCCTAACAAGACACCTCATAGGGCAAGGGTGTTCTGTAGTTACACGGCACACTTAGGGCGGGTTCGAAGTTAGAGGTGCAGCACTTTTTGTGTGAAGCGTCGCACTGAGCATGCTCAGTCATAAGCACAAACCGGAACCCCCAGTTGAGCCCGATTTTTCACAGGCCACCCCAGTCTTTTGACTGGACTGAATAGGCAATGCTCAGGCTTCACTCCAGCCATTAAAAAAGACCGGAGCACTGCACTGCGCTTCAGGGCTCCAACATACGTATGAACCAACACTTAGCTGCGATACGAGCCCCCTTCAAGCCCTTCTGCCAGAGTAAGGAGCTTCAAAGGAAGGAAGGATGTCTTGAGGCAGCAGGAGAACCCACCTTACCGCTTCTTAAGGAAGGAGCAGCACCCACCTTCGGCCTCGGCAACCTCTGCAACGCGCTGAAAGAGCGTGAGGCCTGCAAGGAAGCTCCTGGTGCGCCACTGCCGGCGGATGCGCTGGTAGCCGCCCTCCTCCACCACCTCCCACCCCGCCACCTGTCGTGCGCACCGCACAGGACTTCTATTGCATGACGCAGCGACAAGACTCATCAAATGCAAGAAATACGCTAAAACTCTATTAACATAATTTGAAAAACATGTGTCTCACAAGACACAGACATGTACATGATAAGTCAACGTGTTTCTGATGCAAAAGCAGGAGCAGGAAGGCAAGATGAGGAGCAATGCGATGCATATGGGAGGGGGACAAGGGAGTGACGATAGTGTGGTGATGAAGGTAATGCGGAGGCCAGATGCATGCACCACACAGCAGCGGGTGCAGCACACGTGCTGTCAGCAGAAGGCAGCACACACACGCTGTGCTGTCAGCAGAAGGCAGCACACACACGTGCTGTGCTGTCGGCAGAAGGCAGCAGGCTGAGAGCAAGAGAATGTGCTGCACATGCACGAAGAAAGAGAAAGGCTGAGAAACGTGCACGTGGCACAGCCCACATCAGCACACGAGCTTGCGCCCCCAGCATCCAGCCACATCTCAGTCGACCCCTGGGTCGTGCACGCCATAGTAGCACGACCTGGGTAAAAACGACGTAGTATCTATCTCAGCCGTGGCGATTGTAGCAGCGCCCACCTGGTGTAGCAGCGCCCACCTGGTGTAGCAGGGTGGCGATGCGGTCAGCAGGCAGCGGCAGCAGCCCCTTGCCCTCACACGGCACACAACGCCGACTCGCCAGGGGGGCTGAGCATGGGAGGGAGGGAAGGAAGGGGCGATGGCGACAGGGTATGAGGGAAGGAAGGGGGAAGGGGGCAGCCCCTTGCCCTCACACAGCACACAGCGCCGACTCGCCAGGGGGGGAAGGGAGATGAAGACAGTGGGTGGCGGATGGGTGAGGGGGCGGGTGGAGTAGGGAGGAGGGGCGGGGAGACGAAAAAGAGGAGGAAGCACGACCTTCCTCGTCTCAGCGGAGCTTTCTACCGTTCCCCACCGCTTCTCAATACGCCCCACAACTCACCCCCGCTCCCCACCGTTCCCCACCGCTTCTCGATACACTGCCCCAGAACTCACCTCCGCTCCCCACTGTTCCCCACCGCTTCTCGATACGCTGCCCCAGAAATCACCTCCGCTCCCCACCGTTCCCCGCTGCTCACCTTCCTCCGAGCTGCCGCCCATCTCCGCGTTGAACGGCGACGTCGCCTTGGTCGCAACGCCACGTGGCCTCTCACTGCGGCCGGCGGCGGGGCGCGCAGCGGCGGTGGAGCGCGGGCGGGCGGTGTGGGGGAGGTACGACTGGGGGAGAATCAAGTGCGGGAGGCACGCGCGGGGGAGACGAGCGATGCTGGCGAGGGCGCGCGGGCAGGCGATGGAGGAGGAGAGGAGGTGAGCGGCGAGGGCCATCAAGAGACGGAGGTGGGGCGGAACGAGAGAGGCAGGGAGCAAGCGAGAGTGAGAGAGTGGGAGCGGCGCGGCGGACGAGGTGATGCGGCTACGACGGAACGTGCATGCGATGGAATAGGATGGCGAGTGGGCGTGGAAAATCGGAATGCGGAAGAGGCAAGTGCTGTAGAGAGCATGAAGTGGCCCTTGGAATCTGAGTGACTGCCTACCGCGCTTGAAAGACACCACGCGAACCAGGTGGGGCTCGTCACTTTCAAGAAGGACGCAAGCCGATGTGACTGACGTGGATCTCTTCTCAGATGCGTGGACGTGACGTGGCGTGACGGGTCCGAAGTGGTGTGTGGAGAGGAATGTGCTGTACCGAGGATGGTTTACTATGGCGCGTGTGTTGGAAACAGCGTTACGTGTAAATGAGTTGAAAGAAAAACCGCATTTTTCCAGAATACTAGTCCCCAACATAATCAGCTGCCAACACTTGTCATTCCTATCAGATATAGGCCATGATAGACGAGCCATGCTTATTGCTCGCCGGAAAAATCTTATCCAATTTATAACCAGGTGAGCCACCACGCAGCAAGCATGGTGTTTGCCACGTCTCACCATACAAAGGAGTAACTGAATTGAATCACCCATTGAAATCTTATTCCCACGTCTACGCCTCCCCTCCTCTGCACCCTCTGCACCCTCTGCACCCTCCTCTGCAGTCCCAACTGCACCCTCCTCTGCACACTCCAATACAGCCCCCTACCCCTCCTTTCCAGGGCTAGCAGCACTAGATGGTGTCCGTCCACTCCCCCCTCCCTTGCTCTCCTCCCCTCCCACCCACGTACTCAGCCCCCCCGAGCCTCGCCTCCACAGCCCCCCCACTGCGCCTCCCGACCCCTCATCTGATCCTTTGCGCCCAAAGAGCCTCAGAGGGCTGCCCCCAGGGCTCCTGCCCGTGCCTGGCAGGTCGGCGCATGGTGCCAGGGGACCCGAGCCTGAGGAGGTTCGGAGAGGGGAGGCCCGGCCTTGGAGCGCCTTGCTTAGGCTGCTGCTGCTGCCAGTGGTGCTGCCGCTGGTGCTGGTGTTGGTGGTCGCGGTGTTGGTTGCGGCTGCTGGAATCGGGATGCTGCTGCTGCTGCCGCTGCTGCTGTTGGAGATTGGTTGTGGGAGGGTAGAGAGAGACGTGTTGCTCCCACCAGCAGCACCAGCAGCAGCAGCAGCAGCCGGCGCAACGGCGGCAGCAACAGTGTTGCTGCTGCCAGTCTTGCTCTTGCTGCTGCCGCCACCGGTGTTGCGGAAGGGCCAGAAGTTGACGATGCGCTCGAAGACAGTGCCCTTGAGGAAGAGGCCAGAGAAGCCCTGTGGCTGCACGGCCGGCGGGAAGTCCTCGGGCGGCATGGCGAAGGGGTGCAGCATGCGGTCCATGCGGCGCATGGTGAGCGTGTCGGGTGCGTCATTCTGCACTGTGAAGGGCGGGAGCACTGGCAATGTGTGATCCTTCTTTGCTGGCTCCACCTGGCGTTGTGGGGAGAGGATGGAGGAGAGGGGTGAGAGGGGTTGGGCGAAGCGTGCTGTAGAGTATGGTCCTTCTTTGATCGCTCACAAGTGTCGTGGGGAAAGAGCATAGAGTAGGGGAGTGTGGTGAGGCAGAACCGGCAGCATGGGAATGAGTGGAGCAAGAAGGAGGCGATGAGCTGTGTTGCTGCGTGGTCCGAGTGGTTGGCTGGCACTGGCAGCGTATGATGGGTGGTGGGCCAGGTGGTGTGGTGTGATGAGTGTCGCACCCGGTGCGCAGAAAACAAAGAGCCCAGCGGCCAACGACTCACCTCGAGAGGGCTCACGGCTGACCCTGGGCTGAACATGATCTCCACTCGGAATCGCCGTGGGTCGTTCAGATCCACCTGATGGGCCATGGGTTGGAGAACGAGGCGAGATGGGGGGAAGGTTGAAGTGAAAGCATCAGATGAGTTGCGGGTGAGCACGGTGCAAAAGGGTTGGGTAGAGTGGTAAAATGTGAAGGAAATAGAAGAGAGAGCGAGGGTGAGGGTAGAGGAAGGAAACGGAAGAATGGGGAAAAGGAGCATTAGAGCGGACAGCGTACCTCCACGTTCTCATACATGCGCAGCACGACATGCGTGAGGTAGTTGAGCAGCGGTGCCTCGAATGGGCAGAATGCGAGAGTGGCTGGGATGAAATGGAAGGATAAACGGGCGTGCAGGGCGCATACCTCGACGTTTTCAAGGGAAAGGGGCATGCTGGTCACCCACCTCGACGTTCTCATACATGCGCAGCACGACGTGAGTGAGGTAGTCGAGCTCGCGTGTCTCATAGAGGCGAGTCATGGCGTCGGGACTGAGCAGCGACGCCTCGCCCTGCAGTGAGTCGTCCAGCTGGCAGAAGCGCAGCACATTCATCACACTGTGTAGGTGCGACTCCTGTTGGGGGTGGGTGGGTGGGTGGGTGGGTGGGAGAAGGTAAGGCGGATTGGATTTGGTGGGTAGAAATTCTTGTCATGTCTCACAGGCCCTGCTGGCAGGAGGACAGCACGTTCATCATACTGTGATGCAAGTATGACTCCTGTGCAGGGGGGGGAAAGGAGAGGAAGGGTTTATTGATGGATGGGCGGATGGGTGGGTGGGAGAGTAGATGGTAGGAGAAGGGGACGGGTAGTGCATGAGGGTTGTTGGGGAGTAAGGGGGGATATAGGGAGGAGATGACAAGTTGGAAGAAAGAGAGGGCCACTTCACATGCACAAGGAGAAGGCTTGTGAAGGTGCCTAAGGGCTTTCCCAGAAGGCTTACAGAGGTGAAGTAGAGGCGAGTGCGCACGTGGCGTTGCGGCGTTCGCACGTTGGCGTACCTGCAGCCAGGCAGCCACGGGGCAAGGGACACACAGCAGCACGGCCACTCATTAGTCACATGCGTTCTCCATCCATCCAGAGGAGTCTCCGCCTCCTTGCTCATGCACATTCCATGTCAGTTAGCTCAACCTTCCACGCACTCAATTGGGTCGACCACTACCTCACGTTGCTGTCTCATTATTGAGACTTCACATGAGTACCATTATTGAGACCAAGTGCGTGGTGCAGTGCACCATGCACTTGGTCGTTACCGCACTCACTTGGAGTCCAGTTGGTCCTGTTCATTGCTGTCATCATTATTTAAGATCTCAGAAATTCAACTTCACCGCACTCACTTGGGGTCCAGGCGGTACTGAGCATTGCTGTCATCATTGTCCCCCTCCGGGTGCCCATCGGAGCGCCGCTTGGCCTCACCGGACGAGCGGCGGTTCTGCCGCTGCTGCTCCTGGTTGAACACCGCTGCCGCCACCGCTGCCGCTCGCTGCTCCCTCAGGCTCTGCCGGTGCTGCTGCATCGCCTGCCCCACCGCCACCGCCTCGTCCCGCGTGTTGTGCAGATCTATCAGCATCTTGCCGAGCAGCCGCCGTGCCACCTGAGAAGGGGGGAAAACATGGGAGGGCAGCGGAGAGAGGGGAAGGAGGGGAGGTAGGCGGAGTTGAGGGGAAGGAGGGGAGGTAGGCGGAGTTGAGGGGAATGGGCAATGCCTCGTGTTGTGCAAATCAATCAGCATCTTGCCCAGCAGGAGGTGCGCCACCTGGGGGGGCGGGGAGAAACGGGCAAGGAGACACAGGCACAGGAGGGGAGGTAGGGGGATTGAAGACACAGGCACTGGCTGTGTCGGTGTGTTAAGGGGGGGAGGGGGAGGGGGGGTGGGATAAGGAGAGTTGAGGTGCACTGGCACTTCATCTGGCCGTCTGTACTGCATGTTGCTCACCATCTTGCCTAGCAGCCGCCGCACCACCAGCTCTGGGGAATGCGGGGGAAGAGAGGGGGATCGGAGGGAATGAAGAGGGATTTGAGGGGCACAAGCACAGCCTGCAGCTGTGTGATGCGCCGGTCAATCAGCAAGCACCGCGTCACCTGTGGGGAACAGAGGGGGCGGGAAGGGGGAGGGAGAGGGGCTGGGGTATGGAGATTGTTATGAAGCCCGAAGCTTGAATCGCATCATACTGTACGATCTGCAGATGAAGCCTGCACTGTACAGTCGTCTCACACCTCACGCCATGCAGCGTCTTCTGGTCGAGCGCACCAGACAAAAAGCACACCAGACAAAAAGCGCACCAGACAAAAAGCACACAGGCACGAAGGGCAAGGGAGGGACTGACCTTGGCGCCGATCTTGAGCTTGCTGTACGGCGTGATGCCGTACTCGTTTGGAATAACCCCGTTCGCCATCTCCTGCAGGTGGTGCAGAGATGAGAATGGGAGGGGTTAGGGAGAGAGTTGATTAGTCCGGTTGGGTGGAAAAAGGGAGTTGGTGTTGACGATGGAGCATTGAGAAACAAAATGTGAGAATCGGGAGGACAACAGGCTTTGCAGCAAGTAACACAAGCACGATGCAAGCGACACGATGGGTAAGGGAATAAGCTGCATGACAGACAAGCATATATATGATTTGCAATGAACCAACTGGTGGGATGCATGACCGAGGTGAGCGGGCGAGAATGAGGCAAGGCACGTGGTGTCAAGGTGTGAGCAGCAGTGTGGTGGGGTGGCGAAACATGCATCGTGCCAAATGCAGCAGCCGGCAGCCGCGAACAGCAGCAGTAGTGATGTGCCTTGGCGAGCAGGTAGAACTCGTCCAGCCCCTTGAGGCCCAGGTGGGCTTTGAGTTGACTCAAAACGCACCACAATATGCAAGATGCAACAGGAAGCATGCAACATGTACGAGCAACGAGCAACATTGAACATGCGAGGAGCAAGTGACGTGCCTTGGCGAGCAGGTAGAGCTCGTCCAGCCCCTTGAGGCCCAGATGCCGATTGTGCACCAGGTCGTACCTAGGGGAGGGTAGGGGAGGTGTGGAGCATGAGTCGTGTGTGTGGGCATGTGGAATGTGGGCAGGTTGGGTTTGTGCGTGCACACATGAGATGATGGTGTGTCAGTTGGGAGTGTATGACTGCAGGGTAAGAACCTTTCATCAAACCGAAAAAACACTCGCATTAGGCTGAGTCGTGAGTCAGGCCAGTTTGCCTCGACCCCGGCCAACAAGGCGGTCCCAGCTTGGCCAGCTTGGGCCCAACCCGAGGTCCGGCAAGTTGGGGTTGTATCACCACACTCTCA